GAGACAGAGACCATGAAATGGGCTCCTTGTCTGGCAACTCGAGGCCAAGAGCCGCCCACTGACACCCCGAGCAGCACCAGTGTCTCCAGAGCTGGGCCAGGGACAGTACCTGGTGCGGTCTGAGGCAGCGCTGCTGCTGCTGCTGCTGCTGGATTCCGAGTCGGAGCTGCTCCGGGGAAGATTGCAGTCGTTGCGGTACACCAGGAAGCTTTTCTTCACAGGCTGGTTCCCGCTGCTGAAACCGTTGGCTGGCAAGTCTGCAAAACACCCCATGAGAAGAGCGTTACCACTGCGCCAGCCCCTGCCATGTGCTGCCAGTGGGGCCACGGCCGCCCGGCTGCACCCACCCATGGGAGTGTCCTCCGCAGACTTGTCACTGTCACTGTCCGAGCTGGAGCTGGGCCGTGGGCTCCGCCCTCGCTTCCTCTGCCGCTGGGAGGACCCCATTATTGGGAGCTGGGGGGGCCCAATGGGGCTGTTCCCATGCCCAGGAGTGATCTGGCTGTCTCGATTCTTTGGAGGGCGTCCCGGACGTTTTGGGGGCCCTGCAGTTTTAGGGTTCTTCTTGGAGAAGAGCACTGAGGTCCTCCTGCCAACTTCATGTGCTGGGGTGGAAGAAGAATTGGGACCCAGACCTGGAAGAGGGAGAATGTGTCAGCTGCAGCCCTGCTGGCAGGAACTGCGTGGCAGTGGTGTCAAGAAACAGCTTCATTTCTTGAGAACATTATCTTGGAAGATCCTCCATCCCGAGTGCTGCCACATCTGCAACTTCAGGGTCAAACTTTCCAGTCTGCTGACAGTAAAAGCTAGACAGGGATATCAAAGAAGGGCCTGAAAGACAAAGGTCCCTGCTTGCAGAAGAGCCTGCTTTTCCTGGTGATTAGTGGACAGGACTGGGATGCAGAGGTGGCAAACCCCCAGTGACACCTGGCAGCTCTGCCTGGAGCTTTTGCTGTGTCCCCACAGACCCCAGCTCAGCATCTCTGTCCAGGGAGCTGGTAGCTGGCCTGTGTTTGAATCCCAACCCAAGAGAGCATTTGGAGCTCGGCAGTCAGTACCATTGCAACTCCCTCCCGTGCCCCCAGGCAGGAAGGGACACTGAAGGCAGCCTGCTCCATAATGCCCCTAGAGAACCCCACAGCATGGCTGAGCTGGCAGGGCTTTGCAGGACAAAAAAATCCATCTCATGCCCCACATCACACAGCTGGAACTCTCAGTCTCTGGGACAACATCCAGTTCCTTGATTGACAAGGAGACGAGCTCACCAGGTGAGCACTGACTGTGCTGTGAACACCAGTAATCTGCCAACCCTCCCCAGGGGCAAACACACACTAGGCTGCAGCTGTTCCAGACACTGAATGTGGTCTCCTTCAGCTGCCAATCCCCCCTGCTTGGCTGGCATGGCTCACTACAAACTACTCAGTGTGTGCCATCCTCAGAGGGGCACACTGGGAGGGAGCCCAGGGAGGCACAGACATCATACTCTGTACCCACCTCTTTGGGAGAGATTACAGGAAATGAGGAATCCCTGCATGGGAATGGGAGATAAGGGACCATCCCGCAAGAGGCCACCTGCCCCACTCACACAGAGGAGTGAAGAGCGAGGTGTGTGGGGGGAGCTGCCCACACAGCCCTCCAGCCTCAGGATGCACGTGGCAGGGCAGCTGCTCCCCAGCCAAGCCAGTCCAGAGGCGGCTCTCCACCGCTCCCCGAAGTGGCAGTGTTTTGGAAGGAGCATTACCTTTGCCAGTCTCCTGGCTACTGCTCTCCTCTGCAGCACTGTCCGTCTGCAGGTCCTTCTCACAGGGGTTGTGGGACTGCATGACTCCCCTGGCAGAGGAGCTGTGCCGCTCCAGCCCGTCCCGGCCCAGGTCCCGCGGGTGCGCGAGCTTCCGCCGGAGGACTGTGATCTCCTTCTTGATCATCTTGGCCCGGCGGGACCGTCCTATGCTCTGCTTGCCCGCGTTGACCTCATCCAGCCGCTCCAGCAGGATCTTCAGCTGCTCCTCCAAAGGCAGGTGCTTCTGATTCTCCGAGAGCAGCAGCCGCACATCTTCTGGGGGAACAAAGAGGAGCAGATGGATGAAAGAAATCGGGAACTCATTGGAGCTCCTCTACATGAAAGGGCATGAGGCAATCCAGGTTCCCTGCAGAAGGGAAGTAGCTGACATGCCACCAAACATCTGTGAACCCTTTAGGGAAGTTACCCTAAAAGACCTGAGAAGGGGAAAACCAGCTAGTTGGGACCATTGGGGAAAGCAGGCTGATCAGCAGTATGGAGGATACTAGGGTTCTCATTGGCTGGAGAAAGGACACAACAGGAAAAAAAAAAAGGGAACTGTAACAGGAAAAAACAGAAATCAAAAGGATCCTGAAGCATTACAGAGCAGGGAAGTTCCCCTGTCTGAGCCTGTCTTGTGCTGAAGCAGGGACATGGGTACCCTAAAAGGACCCTTCTCTAACAATACGTTCTTGGCAGTGCTCCCCAATGCCCAGAGACAAGCAGGACTACAACCACAGAGTATGGGGTATCTGGAGCAGTGTGGCAGCCAGCAAAGCCCACAGCTGGGAAGAGAGGGGGGAATACACAGCTCTGACCAGGGGGAGTTTGTCCTTCTATCCAGCCAGCACAGCAAGAGCCTCAGCATCTCACGACTAGTGCTGGGGCCAGGGTGAGTGACTGTACCCTGACATGGGCCAGAGAGGCCATATCCCGGGCATACCCCTGCTCTGACCAACAGGAGGACAAGGGACCAAGGGACTGGCAGGACACAGACAAACTATTGCCTAGAACCAACCTAAGAGAGCCAAGAGGTACCTGGCTAGCAAAGTCCCCACCTCTCCAGGAAGTGGGGACACACAGCCCAGCATCCAACTGAACTTCCCATGGGAGGCAGCTCAAAC